TTGAGCGTCGGAGGAGTGTAAGCACACACTCTCATTTATCAATTAAGCATCCAACGAAGTATCATTACCAACATTGCGCGTAAAGCTTATTGACTTGAGCGTCGGAGTGCAAGCACACACTCCGATTTATCAATTAAGCATCCAACGAAGTATCATTACCAACATTGCGCGTAAAGACATTCATACCATTTAGGAAAATAACCATGCACATTGAAGGCAACTATATTATTAATTCATGATCTTGGTAATTTTACAACCATTAAAGTCAATCTGCATAACTACTAAGGAAAATGCGATATAATGATTATCTCAAAACACATTGCTATTGATCTAATTTAGAAATCAACAGAACTATATTTAGGTACCAACTGATCGAGAATGCAGTAAACATAATGTCTCTTAATGGTCTAAGGAGAGTGAAAATTTTAGTAAGTGATTATGTTAACATCTCGTTCCTCTTTCATTGCCCTTTTATGTTACCCCTTAACTGTCAAATTTGATACCTATAAGAATATGTTGTGAATGGACAATTGAAGAATTTGAACTATTGTTTCAATCCCCTTTTGTCCTTTAACATAACTCTATCTTGTAGATATTTTATTTCATGTGATAAGGGTTTGGAACGGGTGGCTTTAGCCCAAAACCTAGGTCTTGGGCCTGATTTAAGAAGTCTCTGGATCTTGGTACGGTCCACAAGGTCTAATACAAATTAGAACCAACAGATTTCAGAAGGCAAGATCAATACAAAGATATTCTTACAATCAACTGAATAGTCCACGGTTGAAAAGGGTGGGGGATTGTTATGAAAGAATAGGATCCACATTTAACATTTTAGCTATTGAAAAAAGCAATGTAAAAATACATAAGATCTGTGACATGTTATGACTAGTATTTAAAAGGAAGTACCCATATACATTCTCTCTGTTGCAGATGCAGGATGTCAGAAGACCACAATACATGTAATATAATCTTTGCTGCTATGTTCCACTGCTTCAATATCCAATTTCTTAGAGCACATTCCAGTTTCAGGCTCCTTCACAATGTTTTTTTCTTATGTTTATGACCTCCATACTGCTAATGACATCCAAGAGGAAATCCCCATCAATGTGTAATAATCAGCAAATTTTATTACTAGCTTGATCTTCAAGGGTTAGAAAATAGTATCAAAATTAAAGCACTAGGGTAACATGAGGATGATGGATAGGGGTGTAAATGAGCTAGGCTGGGTTGGCCTTTGGCCTTTTTGGCCCAAGCCTACGTCAAAAAAAATTCAGCCTATCTGGCCTACTGACCTATTAAAGGTTTTATTTGTATGCCAAACCCGGCCCATTTTTAAAAATAAGAAAGTCTGACATGGCCTACAGACCTTGTAGGCCTCCCACTGTAGATACTAAGCAAAAAAAATAATTGTATAGAGCAAAGAAAGTTTTATTCAAGCATGCACTAGTACTTCTCATAAGAAAAAAATGACAATCAAGAAAGAGTCAACATAATACCCCAGCTCTAGAATGTATATCATAGAGGAATAGAGTCAAAGAAATGGAGAAAATAAGAAAAATACAATTACCGGATGCTGAAATAAAGTCTACAAGAGAATGTCATTTATTTAAAAATCTTTAAACCACCATCAAGACAAGGGAAAGAAGAGTATTATTGAAAGTTCTTCATCAGTAACATCATAATCCAGCAAGTTACCCATTACTCCATGGTATTAAGCTGCAACAGCATTAAAATTTGGAGACATTAGACAAGTGTTCCTTTCATAAAATAAAATAGCACAAAAAGTAAGAGATATTGATATTTGGTACTTTGCGTCTTTGCCACATAAAATAAATATTATTTTATTATTTTATTTTAATAAATTAAATAGGTCAGCCTACAAGGCTGTAGGCCGGGCTTGACAAAATTAGCCTATGGCCTATTTGTTAAAAAAACTTTTTTATAAGTCTAAGTCTACTCTACTTTTCTGAAAGGTCGGGCCTGGGCCGAGCTTAATGTAGGCCGGGTTGGGCCAGCCTGGCCCATTTACACCGCTAATGATGAATATACTTATGAAGAGCTTTAATGCCTTAACCTATCATTAATTCCATTGAACAAATTGAAGAGTAATTACTCGTGTACATCTAATAAGTTCATGTTAACTAAGAGAATAAATGCTTAATACTGCCCAAGATTCTTTACCTGCAAGTGACTTTTGGATCCTTTTATAAAATAGGTTCAATAAATTACAAGTCTAATGATATTCATTTTTTACATTCCCAAACTCCAAGGTTGGAGCAGGAATCTCTATACTTTTATATTCACTCATTCAGCTGAAAAATACTGCAAATGAAAACTTAGCTGAAGATTGAATATGTGTATCATAACTTCATGCAAAATAACATTATACTTCTTTCTTTACAAGTTATTCATCCTCTGCAGAGAGGGTAGTTTATGGGTCCAACTTCCATCCCTACTACATGATAAAATGTTATTTCGTACAGGTAGTTATATGATTGAATGCTTATATCAGGATCTGCTGTTACTGAGGCTTTATATCATTATCATCAATAGAACAAGTAACCAGTGGGATTTTACCAGAAAGCAACAAAAAGAAAAAATTCACATTTCCATCACTGTAGTCAGGGCTCGCCTCTATTATTTTGTAAGCATAATATCATTTGTCGGAGATTAAAAAACAAATGAAATTAGAAATAGAGAAGCAAAGACATTACTGAACCAATTAGGCATAGAATGGAGATATACTAATGTACTAGCTACTCCATTATCCGTTCCACCAAGTGATCATTGAATGCACGATTCATGCAACTGATATCAACCCATATATAGCTATACAACTTCTATTTTTGGAAGGCACTCATGACGTACCTTCAGGCTTCAGGATATAAGCATGTTACTTTCTGAAAATGAAAATTCAGACTTATTTTGACAAATATATAGAATACAAAATGTAGTGATAACTAGTGTAATTTTTAATACCTGCCATACGTGATTGCAGCTTGACTTTTTAAACAAAGTACAAGATTATAGGTTAGTATGAGTTGAATTTCATGTGAAGAATGCTCAGTATGTTAAAGAATTTCCCTAATCCGCAATGAAAAAGCATAAAGAAAGTGAAAAATAAGTGACTGAACCGATCGAACAGGGACTTTTGCTTCAGTCAACACAATTTTTTCATCATGAAAATCATCCGCACCAGAACAAATTCTATAACACAATGTGAAAAGACCAAAGCTAACTTTGTTAATAGTATTTATATAACAGAAGCTTCATACCGAAAATTGAAGAAGAAGATACTTTCAAAACAAATTCCATCGCAGCTAGGTGGGTATGTCCCACTTTAACTACTTTTTTAATGTATAGAGAAAGAGATTCTCCTGCTCCTGGAGCATCTAAGAATAAAAACGAATTGAACAAGCTTTTTGTAATATTTTAGACTGACTAACAAATTTCAGCTTACCTTACTTAAGAGAAATGGGTTACCAGTTCAACATAAGAAATCCATGCAACAAAAAATTATAAGATATCCCTGCAACCACAGGTGTAAATACATATAGGTGAATCCATGTATTGTATTACAAGAACAAAAAATTTATATCAACATGTGGATGTGGGTTATTTTTTATTTTTTTTGGGGTGTGGGGGGGGGGGGGGTAAGAGCAGACCACAACAATTCTTCATGGAACTTATCTATGCCATATTAACAAGATAGATTTCTCCATAAACAACACTTTCCCTATAAATTTCATGTGATATTGTCATTTAAAACTTTTGTATTTATATCTCTCTTTATAATTATTTATAAATTTTAAAATAGATGACATCCTATCAAACCATATGAATATTTATGAAGAAAGAAAGAAATATAAAATTAACTTCTCTGTCTGAAGATAGTTTCTATGCTACTTGTTAAATTTTAGCTCATTCCCATGCATAATTTTATTCAACCATCAAAACTTCTTATAATCATGTCTTCGTGCTTTCGACCTATTCTAGAATCGGAGCCTTTAGTGCATTGTTTTTATCATATTGGGCCCTCTTACTATTGAACATAGTTGATGCAATTGGGCTTACACTCCCTTGGCCCAGTGACATGGGGTGCTACACTTACCCTACTCCAATTTCTTTGTTGAGTAATTTTTTTTTTTTTAGTTTCCCAACCGATTTATTCTTCAAACTACATCTGATTGAAGCACTTGTTGAACCCTTATGTAGCACCGAGACTGACAAGAGACACGTGACATGGAATGACACGACACAACACTCCGACACGTTAATTCAAAAAAATGTTAGATTTCGACACGTTATGACACGTTTTGATATTAAATAATATTTTTAATTTATGTAGTGTATATTATATTTAATATTCAATAATTTAACAAAAAAATGAAACTAAACTTATAATATTCATCGATTTTGCAAAGAAACATAAGATATCTAAAATATTTATATTAAACTCAATAAAACGGTAATTGTAATCCAACGAATCTAATAGTTGGAATTAAAAAATCAACGCAACACAATTTTTTGAAGTGTTGGAGTGTCGGAGAGTGTCGAACACGACACGTCAGAGTTTTTGAAGTGTCGGTGCTTCATAGTTGAACCTTATTAAAAAAACTTGAAAATTGGAGATAGGCCTGGAGCTATTGGATAGAAAGGAGTTAAATTACAAAGTATAAAAACATAGGTCAATTAATTTTGTGGGTGAAACCCACTCCCAGTTATTGGGCCGCACGATAATTTTTTTGTGGGCCGGGTCCGAATGGGAGAACCTTTACTTAACAGCCAAGTCACCATGTATTGCATTTGCATACGCAATTCAGTTTAACTGAAATGGATCATCTAAGGTTAACAAATAACTGCACAAGCTGCACTTTATCAATCCAACGCTTCTCATTTTTTTTATTAAATTTTATAAGAAAATGAGTTAATTTTCACGGTTGAGATTTTTAGCAGTTGTTTTACAACCGCAGACAACCCAAATCCGATATTCACAAACTAACATTCAAAGCTCAGACAACCCAAATCAGAGATTCACAAACTAACTTTCAAAGCTCAGACGTAAGAACATGTGATGTGTTGTTTCAGAATTTGAGAGTGAGGAAAGTGGTACCGATGATGAAGCGCCTTGTGCTCTGTGTTGCCGCTTTCGTTGCACTTTCTGGGCTCTATTTCTATGAGTTGGGGTTGTGCATGCAACGCTACAACCTCATTAGAATGAAGGTTGCTGAGATCGAAAACCTTGGTCGTTTCGCAATTCAAGAGCACAACAACAAAGAGGTTTTTTTTTTTTTCTCCTTGATTTCATTGACATTGGTATTAAAGATTGAATTTTGGCCCTTGGGGTTTCATTCGTTGATTCATTCATTAAAGTGTGTTTTGTTTGTTTAGTTAAAGCATGTAAATACACTAAATTCCCCTTTTTGGTTTCCTTCCTTGTCCAATGTTAGTGCTTATTTTCTAGGTTGTTAGTGAATTTCCTCTTTTAGCGATTATTCACTTGGATTGATATATATTAAAAGAAAATTTATTTATTTTTTAGCAATATTTGTGTGCTTGTTTCTGTAATCAGGGTGTATACTTACCAGAAGCAGAAGGCATGAATCCTTATCTTGGTTGCTTTAATAAATTTGTTTGGCGGGGCATTATGAAACATCTGGAAATGCGACAATTTGTTAAGAGGAGATGTTCAATAATTGATAATTGGCATAAAATACTTGTTTCTTTTGGTATTGTAAGTTATGTTTGATGTATAGATGAGTAGTCATCGGTTTAATTCTATTCATTGGGTCATGATTTTATTGTACTAAAATGAATATATTGTATGATATTCATGAAAAAGTAGTGATATAGAGGAATGAGGCTCTATAGTGATGATGATAGTGATGGTGAGGTGAAAAAGCCTAGAGGATGTGAAAGATACATCTTTGAAGTTTAACTGTTTAAAGCAGGGGACTTACTGAGGGGGAAAAAATAAAATAAAAAAATCTTACTATACTTGTTGGAGGTGTAATCAGGTGTTTGGTACATCGTCATCTAGATATCTAGTATTCCCAGGTATTTTACAAACTTGATTTAGATGTCTTTTTTGGTGTACTGTACAAAGTCATAGGATTTATCCAAAATCCGTTTAAATGATTATTCCTTGCAATTACAGGTATCTCGCACTTCCCAAAATATGTTGAATTTGAATTCATATGTTAAAGACTTTATTAACCTTCATACTTCACTTTTTTTTCCCCCACCTTCGCTGACAAGTCTCAAATCTCAATTTATAAGCTATCCATGTTTTGTATGCCTTTTCATCTTATACATATGTATCCAAGATGCTTGCGAATAAAAGACGTATGGATACCAAACACCTTTATTTTTATATTACTCTACTCACCATGTCCTACCTTCACAAATATGTATACTTCTATCTTTGAGGTGATATATAGAGCCAGTTTTTGCAAGTCTCTCTCGTTCAGTTTCTTTTTGTTTTCTGACTAAATATTGATATACCGATGACAAACTTATTAAAAGTCAATGTCAAGTGAGGCAAAAAAATAGTTGATTTTTACTCAATTTGTGGATGGAAGTAGTCATTGTAGTATAATAGTTTATTATTGAGAATGGAAGAAATGAAGGAACAATAAGAAATGCCAGTATTTGAGGAAGAAAGATACGACAGCTTGTCTCGTAAATAAGTTTGTGCTTGGAGCAGGAATGCAGGTCTAATCTATGTATATATACAATTTTAATGTGTTCTATATATCCATATTTCTGTTGATTTCTTGTTTCAAGCATAGTGACCCATGATGGAGTTTTCTGAACTTTGCCAGTCTGACAATGTTTCCTCCCCCCCCCCCCCCTGCAAATTATTAAATCAAAATTTAGGTATATTTATATATATTTCTTTTATGCAGAATGCCCTTCTTGAATTTGCAAGAGTATTGAATGCCAAAGAACAGGTGGTAGCAGGTAAGATATATTATCTTACACTGGAAGCAATTGATGCTGGAAAGAAGAAGATATATGAAGCCAAAATTTGGGTGAAGCCATGGATGAACTTCAAGCAGTTGCAGGAATTCAAGCGTGCTTATGTCATCTCTCCCTTTAGGAGTTCCGGTCTTGGTGTTAAGCAAGGTAATTGATTGCTTATATCTACTCATAAATTTCCATGTAGAACGTTTCCTTCTTCACCACTTTGATGCACCCTGTCTCCCCATTTTAAGGTTGAATTTAGAAGTACTTCTTTTAATTAGCACAAAAGTTATTGCTTTTGGAATATGTAAAAAGATGTAGAATTTTTCTCAGATGTTAGCAGTTTCAGTTTCAGTGTACTGTTGGAAATAAAAATGGTAAGGTTTGTTGCAACATTTTATATAATATTCTTGGTGATACGAGAACTGGACAGTATGACGTCTTCTAAAGGTTGCAAAAATATGGATAATAACAATGGACCATTTTGGTATGGAGTTTATTATTTATAACAGTGGATGATAAACATAGCCATAACTTATATGCCTGGAGGTCCATAAATTTAAATTGATATGAATTCACTAATTTTTCAACCACATTTTATCGTTTGAAGTTATTATCAATTGATATTGCAAATATTTGAGCATATTTTGTCAGTCTTGTTATTCCTTGTCTCCATCCTAGTAAGCATACAATTTGTCCTTTAGTTGGCAAGGAAAAGAAAATAGAAACTTGTTATTGTCTTACTGGAAAAAAATTTAGATTCGTTTGACTAGTGAACTCTTTAGATTCTGGAATATGAATTACTCATAGTTGTATAGTGATGTGAAATTAATTAAGAGGATGATGAAACCAAATCAAACACACAAGTAAAATTGAGGGAAAACAAGATTGATTGTATTGAAATTATCCAACGAGCAGAGACACTTTAGCTCTGTTGGAACATTATAAATGCAGAAATACAAATAACAAGACACTAATGGCTGAAACAGCCTTGGAAAGATAAGAAAGAAACACCAAGGGACCCCAATGGTAGCCTTCCTCTCACTATTTCCCCCACCGAAGTTCATACAATCCTATCCCCTACAATTTCCATTACCCCCCCTTATAACCCTTTCCTCCCATCCACTCATTCTCTCTCCTGTAACTAACTTCCATGGGCTCTTCTGCAGTGCTGGATCTGGGCCCACTTGTCATAACCCAACAGAGGATCTCTTTGTGCTGGATAAATATGATCTCCATCCCCAGTGGAGACAATATCAGTCAACTGTGGGATTATTATACAATAGCACTTAAATAAAACAGCCCGTATTAAAGGGAAAATGGGCATGGGCAATAAACTAAGACATTTCTATTTGCTGATATGAAAGCTATTATTGCCTCTTCAAGCTGGGTAGGTTTAGTTAGAGTCCTCTTCTTTAGAGGATTCTGTCCCAAGACTCCGACTACTATTTCCAAAGGTTGACAAGGAGAAAGCGAGGATTGGAAAAAATGATTCCAATGTCGGACATTTTTCGGATCAAAGAGAAGAGAAATTTGCCATCTGTGCAATAGTGCATGTTTAGATGAATGTCTGGAACAGTTATTTCTAGTTCCTTGGTATTAACTGCATATTTTTTGCTCGTGAGTTGTGACTAGTTGAATATTGTTAATTGTTTCAAAGTAAAAGTGACCTTTTGGTCCCTTGCAAAATAAACTCTTGTTTCTAGAAACCTTCAGTTGCTTTTTCATATGTTATTCAATCTGTAATCGGGTGGGACAGAAATTTATATCCTCTGAAATCAAAAAGGGCTCTCCCACGTATTAAGACCACAAACTTTGGGTTTGTGCATGTTTGTCTGTCTCCCCCGCCGTCTTCCCTTCGGTGTTTATGAGCAAGGCCCTGCAGCTCTTGTTGATACTAGATAAGATACTACAAATCATCCATAATTTCTCCCCTTTGCCGCTGATAATATTAAGTTATCTTTATTGGACATTTGGACTTATAATGTAGCAAGGACTGACTATGTGACTGTTTAGCTATAAGAGGTAGTTGGTTTTTAGTTTATGTTGATATGGGAGTTGACCAATGATTATATAGTGCAAATTATTTGTTCTTGTTCTTCAGCTTTACCATTATTTCTTGGTCCTTATTCTCGGGCAAAACTGTGTAATATAGTGAGGGGAGCGATACTTCCTCCCATCTCCAAAACTTCCAAAAATTCAAAACTCCCCCTATGTTTTGATTTTTTTATATAAAATATGTAATTGAACCCTTGAAAATTTTTATTGTTGCACCTACAACCTTTTTGGTCTGGTTATGTCCCTGCTTATACTGATTTTTGGGCACAAAGTTGTTACTCCAAAAGTAGCGTCTCATCCTTCTCCTTTATTTCTTAATTTTTATTTTCTATTTAAATCTAAATTGTTGTTTCTGGGAACTGTACCACTTTGATTCAGAGAGGATCAAGTTAGGATGGCGTGAAGTGCCAATTCATGATCCTGAGGTCAAAGATGCTGCTAATTATACTGTGAAGTCCATTGCACAGAGGTCCAACTCCCTGTCTTCATATAAACTTATGGAGGTTGTTGTGGCCAAGACCAAGGTGGGAAGTTCTATTAGTCGCTAGCTTCATTTGCTACTTCTCTTCATTGCAAGGAACATATTTATATTGCTTTTTATGCTTATTCATCTTTGTCAATTGACATTCTTTGGCTAAAAATGCAGGTCATTGAAGATTATGTCAAATTTAACTTGCTTCTGAAGTTAAGCCGGGGAATTAAAGAAGAGAGGTTCAGAGTTGAAGTAAATAAGAAACTAGGAGGAAAGTTTTATGTTAGCTGGGTGGAACAAGATCGCTCCTGAATTAACTATCCTTATATTTATTGAAGTGGAGTGATGCTGCTGTTACCTAACGTATGAAAAACTTTAGTGTGAATATGTTCTGTTGTGTGTATTCTTGTATAAATGTAAAGGATAAAACATATACTGACTATTGGAGATACATAGATAAAATGCAGTAAATAGTGAATATGTCATTTAGCTTTTTTATAAATTCATTCTGTTCGTTTCTCCAGTACTGAATTGATTCGCGTGTATCTTTTGGTAAATACCTTAACACACTATACATAAAGTTGACTAGTTGGTGCATATACTTTCATTCGCAATTTCATTTGTCATAGAATCATGTCATGATTGGATAAAATATCTGCAAATGTAAGTTTGTATTTTTCACCAAGGGAGAAAAAAAATACCATTAGCATGTAAAGCTTAATGTAGAGGGTTTAGATCTGGGAAGGGAGGAAGAGAGAATCAGAGAAGTAAAACGTGAAGAGAGAAGTTTGTCCAAATTTTGCAATTATTTTCTATTCCCGCCCCTTGAGCTATATACCATCACTTTGTTACATTAGTTTTCTGTTTTTCACATATCCTAATTTTGACAGAAATTAACAAAAGTTATTAAAGAAAATTTCATGAAATTGGGCCTTCTTAACTATTGAAAGTGGTCCAATAAATACGAGGGTCTTCTCCTTGTGCAAGTGGGCTTGTTCTCCCTTAGCTCAATGACTTGGGGTACAACATCCCCTTCTCCATCAAAACAGGTCTCGTCCACGAGGTGTGATGGCCCACAATTTGAAGCCTGATAAGAAGTCTTTGGTTCCATGGATCTGTCGGTGGGAAGGTTCTCGAGAGAAATGGGTTGTGGGAGTTGTTGCAAGCTGGCAAGAACTATCTTGTGATTGGTAGGTGGGGAGATAAGAATCTCGTTCTCTCCCTTGTGATTGGTTTCAACCACAGTGGAGTAATGGCATTTGTGTTCTCAATGGTGTGGCCTAATGAAGTGGGCTTGATGTTTTGTATCTGGTCATTGATCTTCAGCCTTAAGTCTTCGGTAGATCCCTGTGCACTAGTGTTTGTCTTAAGCGTCAAATGTATATCCAAAGATAAAGGAGGAACCTTTGGTATGGAATCAGGAGTCAAAAGAACCTCGTCCTCCCAAGTAGAGTCTTCTGGCGGCAACCCATTCCATTGCACCAGTACTTGTGGAGTCTTGCGACCTTGTCTCCAGATTGTTTGACTGGGCACAATGGCCGCCAGAGTATGCTTCGGTGGTGTGACTTGGAGATCTAGAGAAAAATCATGGATCTTGTATTGTCCCGCTGTAAAGAAGGGCCAGGAGTGAAACATGAAAAACGGGATGCATGCGTGAGCCATCTGGTAACCAGAGACGATATGCCACACTACCAATGCATTCAAGGACTTCAAACGGACCATAAAATCTCAGACTAAGTTTGTTGGAAGACCTCCTGTGGACAGACAACTGGCGTTAGGGTTGTATCTCAAAAGCACTTGGTTTCCCACTTGAAAGGTAAGTTTTGTTCTTTTTGATTTGCTTGAACTTTCATCATACCTTGCGCCTTAAATTTTGCTTCAATGATGTTAGGATCTTGAAGGTGCAGAGCATGAAAATTCAATTTTTGAAGTGACAACTTGTGAAGGCGTAGAGCAGGAAAATTCAAGATTTGGAGCGACAACTCGTGAGGGCCCCTATCGAAAAAATCAAAAATTTAAAACGACAACTTATGTAGACGCAGAGCATGAAAATCCAATATTTGGAGCAGCAACTTGCGTAGACAAAGTTGGGCATTCAATCCGAAGAAGTAATGGAATTAGAGGACGCATTTGATGAAGAAGAGGAGGACGCCAATCCCTTGGAGATTATAAACCAGGGACATAATCGGTAAGTACGACCTGGAATTCAATTCATTTTTCAAGATATCGAGATGCAAATCAACATTCTTGACTATGATGTTTACGATCATAACACAATTTATGATGATTATCCGATTGATGATGATTATCCCATTTATGATAATTATCCATCTTATGATGAAGATTCAGTTTATGATAATAATCCAGTCTACGATAAATCTGATGGAGAATCAGATTGTAAAGATTTAATAGAGGAAGATTTATCATTTGAGTTTTTGTCTAAAGAAATTGATATCAATGAATATGAAGCAGATTCGACGCCGAATCTTTTCTTAACAGGGGAGAATGATGCACTTACAGTTACGCCATGCACATAGCCCAACCATTGATTTAAGAAGCTCAGAGTCAACTAGAGTTGTGGCCCAATAAGTATGGCTCAATTGTTGAAAGATGCAGTGATTTGAAATATAACAAATTACGATCAAATTCAAGTCAAAATAAAGCAACATATATGATTGTGATATTTTTGGCAAGAAAAGGAAAATAACACATTTGACATGATTTGAGATCTAAGATTTGGGACGTGTTTGAAATGATTTAATTGTAATTCTTGGTTGTTGTTGGCACCTAACCCCTCCAATTATGGTTTTATTGCAAAAAATTTCTTTTGCTACTCAACTTGGGAAAGTTGTAATTTTTTACTAAACTCATCTCTCTTTAATTATTTAGTATTTATGGTCTATAGTATCTCGTGAGCGACAACCTCAGAATCTTTAATTTTTCTAGTTAATAAAATTAGAGGTTTCTTATTTTTACAAATGTTGTTGATGCAATTTTTAAATGTCTGCAATTATAGGGAATTGAAAATAAGATATTTTCAGTATATGTGGACAATACAACCTACAATGATGTTTGTATAAGAAATTTGAAAAGCACATTAGCAAGAAACACTAATTTAGTCCTTGGTGGACAACTATTTGATGTGAGATGTTGTGCTCACATATTGAATTTGCTAGTGCAGCATGGTCTTAATCAGATCAAAGCTATTGTTGAAAATGTTCGTGAAAGTGTCAAATATGTTAATCATTCTGACTCAAAGATTGGAGATTTTCTATGATATTATCAAGAAGATGGGCATAAAAGAAAGGAAACTAGTTGTTGATTGTCCCACTAGATGGAATTCAACATATGAAATGTTGTCTGTTGCTTCTAAATTTAAAGATGTTTTTTCAGAATATAAGGAGTGGGAGCCACATTATAATTATTTGCCATCAACTAAGGATTAGGAAAAGGTTTAAAAGGTATGCCATCTTTTAGAAGTTTTCACTCATGCTACTAATGTTATGCCAGGTAGCAAATTTATACCTTCCTGAAGTGTTTAGGGTGAAACAAGTGATTGATGCTGCATCTGAAGACAATTATGATTTTATGAAAGGAATGACAAGGTTATGAAAGACAAATTTGATAAATATTAGGGAGAATGCAATATGTTGATGGCCATTGCTAGTGTTTAGACCCACGATGTAAATTCCATCCGGTGAAAATTTGCTTTCCACTTATATACAAATCATAATATGAGGCACAAATTAACATAGACAAGGTGAATGAAGCTTTAAAAGCTCTGTATAATGAATATTCATCCACTGATAGTCAGGTGAGATCTTGATGCAAAATTATAGGGAAAATAGGCTTTCAGGAAAATGCAGGAGTTTTCTGCTATATTATCATTCTTCAATCATCAAAACTCTTGCTTTCACATCCTTCTAACAAGCCTTTTAATCAGGCAATACAAAAAGTAACTGACAATAAAGGACCATCAATGGTTTTAAAAACTGACACAAAACGGAAATAACCATAAACAAAACATAAAGTCATGCAAACTGAAACGTCTGCAATTATTAAAATCCATAAAAAGCTTTAAAACTGAAACGTCTGCAATTATAATAATTTATGGTGACTTAAGTGCATCATCCTCTCCCACTAGGAGAAGATTCGCCCTCGAATCTGCAACGTCTTCAGGTGGTAATCCAGGCGGCAACTCTTCTGGTACAATATCACCAAATTTCCTAATTAAGATTAGAACTTGGAAATGCAATTCTTTGACATGCTTGGTATATTCATTTGTAGTTTGGATCAATGATCGCATCTGTGATCCGTCATAGGAAAACTTTGTCTGATGTACCCGCAAGTCTCATTGCCTTTGACGATCTCCAATTAAACTTTTACCAAAAGCTAAGTCTTTATCTCCATGGAGCATAAGGTTGTTATGCTCGTTGTCCCCAAATTCATAATACTGCTTGCAAACTAAAGACTTCTTGGATGAAGGATCATTCTGCATGATATCTTTGGGTAGAACTTCATCTTTGTCAGAGATATTAGAATTTCTAATAACTGACTTCCCATCAGAATCACTACAAGAGATTTCTTTCACCTCTGGATTCTCGTCGTCTTGCTCCCAATCATACTTATCATAGATAGGGAACTTGTCATAAATTGGAGCATCCATAACAGGATTCTCATCATCTTGCTCTTCATCATATTCATCATAGATTGGGACCTTCTGGTCTTCTGTCAAGTCTATGATGTCAAAGATCTTTTCGACGGTGTGTGACCTGTCGATAAACTCATCTGGATGAGTAGTGCCTTCGAATTCTGGGATCTCAATCTTCACCTCAATATTAGCAAAAAAGGATTGATTTCCAGGTTGACTTCGTCCTCGTCGCTCCTGGTTTCGGTTCCATAATCTCCTTTCCTCCTCATGAGATGATCTTTCAGATTCCCATCCTTCATCTGACTCGTGCAACTGTGCCTCTGCAAGCAGTTGTTCGAGTTCTTGGATCCGCCTGTCCTTTTCCTCAATTTCAGCATCTCTCGCATCAGTATAATAATCACCATCGGTAGGTTGACCGCGTCTGCCGCCACGACCTCTTCGTCCACGACCACGACCTTCGCAATTTTCCTGCTCAGCCATCTTTAAGGCAACCTGAGCTCTGATACCAAATGATGCAAAATTATATGGAAAATAGGCTTTCAGGAAAATGCAGGAGTTTTCTGCTATATTATCATTCTTCAATCATCAAAACTCTTGCTTTCACATCCTTCTAACAAGCCTTTTAATCAGGCAATACAAAAAGTAACTGACAATAAAGGACCATCAATGGTTTTAAAAACTGACACAAAACGGAAATAACCATAAACAAAATATAAAGTCATGCAAACTGAAACGTCTGCAATTATTAAAATCCATAAAAAGCTTTAAAACTGAAACGTCTGCAATTATAATAATTTATGGTGACTTAAGTGCATCAGATCTAGGATGAACGTATCCTCTTCTACTCCCTTTACTTAAGTTCCACGTGGCTCTACCTCTGGGTTTGACCAAACCATGAGCATTCATGCATGAACAGGAATCTATTTCTGCAACAAAGTCAGAGTTGAAGTCACATGTTTATGAAGGTGTTTATGAATATCATGAAAAATCCCATCTTTCATTTGATGCTTTGGAATGGTGGAGGAGTAATAACTTAAAGTATAAAATCTTATCACGAATGGCAAGAGACATACTCGTTGTACCAATCTCTACAATAGCATTAGAATCAACATTTAGTGCTCGAGGAAGAGTTATTGATGCTTATCGTTCTAGCTTGACTGAAGATAACATCCAAGCTTTAATATGTGGTAAAGATTGGCTACGTAATAAGTATCGCTTAAAGACAAAACAAAAAGTATAAATTTAACCAATTGAAATTATTTTATAATTTAATTATATTAATTAAATTTTAATAGAAATCTGACTTTATTTTTTATGTATGAGGAATCAACATCTCAGCATGTGAGATTGCCTATATGAATCTATTAAAAGATTTTTTGTTTCTTAATTTTTTTTTCTATTCTTAATTCTTGTTTTTTGTTTTCTACATCTACAAATTGTGTGACAACTTATATAACCTTGGAATTGTATCTGCAGGGGAGAGAAGATGAAGAGAAGTTTTTTTGCTACTACAAGCATCATGATGTATTTGTTGGATTCATGTAGTTATTTTAATTTACATAGTATGGATTGATTTGTTGGGTATGATGAAATATATGTTATTTAATTTGAGCATTTTGCTTCTGAGAGTGGCTTAAATGCAAATTGTGATGAGTTGTTGTTGTGATTCATGGTTCTGTTTGGACGTTGAAATTGTGATTTTTGTTTTAGTAATAGAATTGAAATTGTGATTTTTGTTTTAACAATAGAATTTGAGTATTTTGTGAAGTTGATTCATGGTTCTACTTGGAAGTTAAAAATTAACAGACTAACGGACCAGGTCAGACCATTTGTTTTTTATAAATGGACCAAGTCAAGCTAATAGTTAGACTCATACTATGTTGTCGGGCAAACCAAATTAAAATTTTTTGGCATAGACTTGGAATTTTCGGGACAAAACTCGGCTCATTCCAGTCCATTTTCACCCCTACTTATGACCCTTATTTTTATGAGTTGAATTTTGTTATTTTGATAATTTAAATTGAGAATCATAGGGTTAGTTTTTTTTTTGAAAATTCTAACTTTCTGTTTAGTCACTTTTTCTATGTGCTTTCCGCATCAATTTTTAGATTTGTATTTCAAACATAAATAAAACAAGGGAATTGCTTTTGTTATGTAACATAACCTAAAAGCAAATTTCCTACTCTCACAAAAGGAGGAGAGAGGAGAGAGGAGAGAGAATAGGAAAAAGAGAAAAAAATTAAAGTGAGTCCCATATAAATTTTGTGTGTGTAGGAAGAAGATTTTAGGTTATGTAACATAATAAAAACAATTCTCATAAAACAAATGGAATATTTATGAATTTTTTTTTTCATTTCCTTTATTATTTTCTTTTCCTGCAATATAGACCTTTTCCCGTAAGCTTCCAACACGTCTGGGAAAGTGAACAGAACTAGTTGATCGAGTATAAATAGACTTTCATTCGCAATTTCATTTGTCATACAATCATGGCATGATTTGATTAAATATTTGCAAATGTAAGTTTTAACTTTTATTAAAGGAGAAAGAGAAATGCAATAAGTGTAAAGAATCACTTCAATGCAAAACATTAAGGTTTTGGGTTGAAGTGGTTCTTTACATGGTATAAGAGTTTGAGTGATTATAAGGTCACAAGTTCGATCCTCACCGTCCCCACTTTAAAGTAGAATTAACATAAAAGCACAAGTAAATCAAAAATTGGGCCTGTGCAATATTCACACTTCTAGCTCAACGGACTCTTGCATGAGGAGATTAGTTAGAGAATAATATAAATTATTAAAAAAATTCTCATCTAACACCTTAAAATTTTGGGTTGAAGTGGTTCTTTACCATAAACTTATAAAAGTTTCATTGGCATTTTATGTCAGTTCAACTTAAGGTAAACCATTAATTTACTCTCATTAAAACCAAGGTGCGCTTAGTGCTACTTCCGCTCAACTCTCTTCCCATTTAATATATTTATATAGATTACACATATATAGGAATTTCAATTCAAAATCTGAAAGTGACAAAGCCAAATTGATTGAGTTTTCTTTACTTCCTTAGATTGTAATTTCAATAAAAAATTAGATAGATTGAATTAGATTATGTGTTTAGAATTTAGGGATAGATTGGATAAATTGTAATTAGATTACGTGTTCAATTCTCATTTATATAATAATTTCAATGGTTTCAAAGACACAATGATAGAAGTAGTGCGAAAAGGAAAATTTTTGAATGTAACAAACAACACTATTGCAGCATGAGAAGCATTAGACTTCAGCGGGCACACGTTTGTACAAGTGTGAGGGCAACCTCGGAGAAGCCACAGCCTGTAGTGGGGTCCTCATGTATGTCACTAATCCAGGATTCTCTGCCATGTCAATCTCCTCAGGCTTTATTCCTTCAGGTGGGACCCAACAGAAATGGTGTAATAGATGACCCAACATGGATGTCACCAAATTGATTCCAAGTTGTGCACCTGGGCATACCCGACGACCTGCTCCGAACGGCAATAGCCTAAAATCATGGCCCTTCATATCTACATCCTCTTCAAGAAATCTCTCGGGTCGAAACTCCAATGGATTCTTCCACACAGCCGGGTCACGTGCTACTGCCCATACATTTACATGTACATTGGACCCTTTAGGAATATCATACCCACCAACCTTGACATTTGAGTTGGCACGATGTGGGAGCATTAGTGGTGTTGGTGGGTGCAGCCTCATAGCCTCCTTGGCTACACATTGTAGATAAGGTAAGTTTGAGATGTCGGTTTCAGTCATGACCCTTTCAAGCCCAATGACCCGGTCTAGCTCCTCTTGGGCCTTATGTTGAACCCTTGGGTTTTTTATCAACTCAGCCATGGCCCACTCTACTGAGATTGCAGTTGTGTCCATCCCAGCTGTGATCATGTCCTATCAAATGAAGAACAAATTATCAATTATAACACCAAAGACTTGTTAAAATTTTAAGAAAGCTATAAGCATACTTGTCTAATAATTAACATGAAACAATGGGAAATGATCTATTTACAATTTTTTTTTTTTACAAATTACACTAAGTATGACCGTTCATACACTCTTGATTGAAATATGATCGGTCATACTTAGTGTAGTTTGTAAGATTTTGTAAACAAAAAATTTGTAAATATAATTTTTTCATTAACTGCTAATACAACGTACCCAAAGAAGACCAATGATGGTGTCTTCACTAAGATCATATTTGTCTTGCAATGTGAGGAGGGCATCAACAAAATGTTGCTTGACGCCACCAGATTCCTTGCGTGCTTGAGTATGCTCTTCCATGATGGCTCTGGTGAGTCTATCCCTTCGAGCTCCATGCTTGGCAAAAGCTTCCTCTTCTAGTGGGAACATCCAACGCAGCCAAGGGATGTGCTCTGCCATAGCCAGAGATGCTCCTAGCTTTAACCCATTTGACACAATAGCCTTGAATTCTACACCTTGCTCATCCATCACACCTTCTGAATTCACAAATCTTTTTCCAAATGCTAGCCTGGTGATGTTGTTGAATGCCACAGCCCCCAAGTACTTCTTCACCAGTAGACTTTTCCCCATATTTTCTGCTTTTAAGTTATGCAAATACACATTTTTGGTCAACAAGTATAAAAGACAAAATGCATAGGAAAAACTTATTTTTATACAAAATTGCAATTTTGATCCAGATGTAACATTTTTTTTCCCTCATGAAGATGTTGACTTTATGATTAACACATTTAAGTTATTTATGGCAACCCATACAACAATGTCTATACGATTAAGAAGTCTCATAACTTCAAATCAACCATTTCACATAGGTAAAAAAATACCAATAAAAATGTGGGGCCGACTCATCTTAATGAGATGATTAAGATCGGTATAAAAAAAATACTTTGGGCCGTTGATTTTATTTTGCGTGAAACTTCGTCAATCAAAGTTTCTAAAGTGTGGAAAAATTAGGTAGAACGTCGGTCTGTGAGTTGCATAATCATGGAAAATTTGGTGGTGGGGGAAAGAAACAGCTAATATATAAATATAATGAGTCGTGTGGTTTAGAGGATAAGAAAGGGAAAAGACATCAAAGTAGCTTGAACATATAATAGACAAGTCCGGCATCATATTCATAGTCCAACCAACTTTATCTAACCACATGATTAATAATTAGGTAAAGCTTTTTTATTTAAAAAATGAAAAAAATAATTCCTATTTTAAAGTTAAGAAATAAGCCTCGGTTAAACCAAACATTTTGTCGAAGTTATTTGATTTTACCAGAGTAATTGTTCATTATTAAACTACTAGAGCCAATTCTCATTAGCAGTTAAAACTAATTTCATTTTATTCTTATGAATAAAAAATGCTTAGCTAAGGTGATTAGAACGGTTAACAATAAATTGACCCCAACCGGGAAAAGAAAATAGAGATTGTACGGATTTGAGTTAAAAAAAAAAAAAACATTTTTACACGAAAATTTTGCTTAATACAAACAAACAGACATTATCGCTTATGATTTCACTTTTCTAGTTTGGTAATCATATATTACTATAGAAATTAAATAATTTTAAAGATGAGTTACTCAAATTTAATTTTTTTATTTACTACTTATAAAATCAAAACAATAAAACATAAATCGCAATTTATTTTAATATTTATCATTAGCAATAAAACGAAAATGACAAAAAAAATAAAAAAAAATGAGAAGTCTCCGTGATTTAAAGTTGTCATTTTAGAGAGACAGACACGTAATAATATTTTTTATTTAAAATTTAAATTAAAAAACACTCACTTTCTCTCATATTATTTTTACTTCTTGTGTCTATCTATCTTCTAAAATGACATAACTTATGTCATTTTAATATGACAACTATCAAACCCAAAAACAAATACTTATAAAGAAACAAAATAAAATCAAATAAAACGGCCTAAGTGGGCCATCCATGTACCCCACCCCGTGGTGAGATTTTACTGAACAAATACGATATAGTATCAAAAACAAAAATTATCGCTATCCAAAAAAACAAAAACAAAAATTATCCCAAATTCGGCATAGGCAAAAAAAAACTAATAGAAACCCCAGTCATGACATTCATTATTCATCAATAACGCAAACCAAAATCATGCCACAAAACAACAAAAGCAAAAGAAAAAAAAAAAACACATTAATTTTTTTTTCTTCTTATTTTGACCAAATAGATTAGAAAAAACAGATACATACCAGGATTGGTGCAGTCCTTGAAAATGAACTCAACCATGGCTGTGACCTCATCTTCTCTAATAGGTCTCAACGCTTCAAGCCTCTTGGGTGTGAAGAGTTCAAGGGTGCAAACCTTCCTCACCTTAACATAGTGTGGTCCATAATCAGCCCATATAAGATCCTTCCCATCTCTGCTGAACTTCGCCGCCGATCGGCTCCGGTGCCGGTCAGCGAGTTGCTGATCATTCTCCTTCAGAACCTCTCTTGCCAACTCCGAGTTCGAAACGACAACGTTTAAGGTCGAACCGAACCAAACCGATATGATGGGTCCATAAGACTGTGCCCACTCTGCAAAGCACCGGAACCTCACCGGTTTTATGTCGTAAAGGTTTCCGACGACCGGCCATGGCCGTGGACCCGGAGGGAGCTTGAACCTTAGCCTCTGGTAAAGCTCGTAACATAAGAAGAGGGTGATGACTGAAAAAGGTATTATCAGAAGCAACGCCATAGAAAAAAAAAAGATGAGGTTTTTGGTTATGAATGATTGTGGAGTTTGTGTTTCTAGGAAGGGTTGGAGGAAGGTTGATATTGATATATATCAGAGAGAAAAAGTGGGAGTAGGTGAAAATTGGATGTATGTGTAAACGTAACGTTTTCTACATGCTAAGCACGTATATTTAATTTTCTGCTTCATTTGGTTTACTACTTTTATTTCTGTAGGTGTACATAAAGGGAAAAAATATTTATTCTTTTATTTTAAATAAGAAAAAGACATAAATTATTATTTTTTATTTAAAATTTAAATTTAAAAATAACCCCTTTTTTCTTTCATTATTTATTTCTTTCTCTTATATGAAATAACATATTTTTATTTCTAGTAAAACACCAAACCCGTAAATAAGTTACCACGAATTGATTTGACGTTACCAACCACATAGCATGTTTATATAGTAAAGCAAAAATCAAATTCAATATGTATAATAATGAGGTTGGCTGAGCAGTTTTCTAATCGTTTTGACTTTTTGTTGAAATAAAGGTATTGTTATATGTATTATTATATTGGGTTTCTTAGCAGTGTAGGTCGTGTAAAGCTTATAATATATTTGTAGAATAAAGTTTTCAAAAAATATATAATTTTTTTTATAATATTTTGTTAAAGATTATCTCTCTCTCTCTCTCTCTCTTTTTCGGGTAAACAAGATTCTCTCTCTTTTATTTTGGAAACAAAGGTTTTCACACTTCAATCTTGGAAGTGTTCGCCATATACAAATTACAATGGTGGAGCCAGTTTTTTTTTTAGGGGGCGAAATTACATAAATTTTTAAATTCATAATTATATAATTAAATAAAGCTATTCACAATGTATAAATCACATCATGTAAATAAAAATAAAATATAACAATATATAAATAAAAATAGCCAAATCAATTAGATTAACTACAAAATAAAATTAATTTTATCATGTTTAAATTTATTTTGTATTCAATTTGCAAATTTTAATTATATTCTCCTTATTTATTTATTTACTTTATTTTCATATTTAGTTAGGTATCAAATCTATTTGAGATTAAAATCAATTCTATCATGTTCAACTATATTTTTTATCCGTTTTTCAAATCCTAATTCAATTATTCCTATTTTATTTATTTAATTATTATATATGGATATTTAGATAGGCATCAAATATATTTGAGATTGACTAGAAAATAACACCAACTATATTATGTTTAAGTTTATTTTCTAAAGTTTACTTTTTCTATATCTTTCCAATATCTTTCAAATTTTTAGATCTTTTAAACTAATTCAAACAACTCTACCTTTTAAAAAAACTAGGGAAAACATAACAAACAATTCTTGTAACAACATAATGAGTGGTGCCAAACATAGCTAATCAAGCATTATATAGTCAATACACATACTTAGTTTTGAAAAGCGGAGGGGAAAGCGATCACCCCCTAGCCCCCTCTCGCTCCACCACCGCTTTTATAGACGCAATCAAGCACCTTGAAAGGGAAAAAAAAGGAAGAGAGGGAATATTTGACCAAATAAGAAAAGAATGAGATCATTTAATTGGAGAGAAAAGAAAGGGAGAGAATATTTGATTGATGAGAAAGAAGATAAAGAATGTTTGATTTAAAAGAGAGAATGAAGAAACCCCGAAGGGTAGCTCAGTTTGCAAGATGAGCCCCAAGGGTTTGCTTTGATCAGGATTCAAATCTTAGCCAAAACAAATTTTTGAAATTTTTTGGGGGCCAGAGGAAAATCATCTCCCCCTTAATCTCACCCTTTCTCCGATAATAGTGGTTTAGGGCCGTACTCCAAGGTTGAGTGAAGATACATCCATGTTATCTACCCAAGAGAGAGAGAGAGAGAGAGAGAAAGTAGTGGTATCCAATGTGATTGGAAGCTATTGATTTAGATACAATCTAATGATGCAAAATTTGTAGTAAATGTAAGAAGATTAAATTAGTAGGCAATATAATGTTCCCCTGGAAAAAAATTATATTAATTAAAATATACAAAATTGATAGCTTTTAAATAAATATTGTAAGCGATTTATAAATTCATAATTTTATTAAAAAGTCATAAATAGAGGGTTTAAAGAGTTGATGACCATATTGGTGTCATCATTGAAAGAATTGTTTAGTTAATGCACATTGGAAAAAAAATTTCAATTTAATGCAGTCAAACACGCAGTCAAAGAGAGCTTGACCAGTTTCACATCTAACCAATACGGTAGCCACTACCACATCACGAATCACACACGTCCTTTATGTGTGTCTCACTGCCACGTTAGTCCCGCACTTGACCTGAATGTGATGAGTCCCTCATGCAATTAATGCGACTCCTTTTTCCTAAAATTGGACGAAACCCCTTCCCCCTCTCAAGTCCCTCTTCCATTTCATCTCTCTAAATCTCTCATTCTTTCTCCATAAATTTTTCTCTGCCTTCTCTCTAAATCTCTCTCTACAATTTAGATTTTTTTTTTTTTGATAACACAATTTAGATTTTTTTACCTATATATGTAAGTATCCATTCTTGGTAATTTATTTTGTAAAATAATTTGTATATGTCATGTATGAAACATTAGGATAGAAGTTTATTTTATGTTATAGTTTGTAAGATTGTAATTTAGTTAATTATTTTAATAATTTTAATATGTTATTCAGCCTTTATTTAGGATTGTATATAGGATATTTATGTATTGTATATATGTTTCAATTATCAAGATAACAACCATTTTAATGTTATATTTAATTAATGTAAAACAACCGTAGGAAGGCTTTTTACAATTTCTGGGATAATTAACTATTATTGTTAATTTCATTTTTTAAATATAATTATTCGAATTTATAATTTGGTAATTAAATAATGAATGTTGATATTTAAAAAATAGTAATTATGATTTTTTTGTAAATTTTTATTAGTTAAATGGCTAGTGAGCGCGCCCGCATTGTGCCTGGTCCAAGAAAGTGGGGCGTACTTGATTCTGATATGCAACAAACACATATCTAGCAAGCAATTTGGAACGATGGACGTTCCAGGATTTTGAAGGTGAGGTGAGCCTCACAGGGATCTTTGGGTAGTGTGCATGACTAGTGGCGGAGTCAGCGAAAAAACCCAGCCAGTGCCAAAAGATCCAACTAGTAAAATTCAGCCAGTACCATTGTTGTATTATTTTTAAAAACCTAACCAATACAAGATGCAAGATGAAGTATGAAGATAGAAACCAAACCTAGGTTTCTGGGGTATTTTTGTCTCACATTTTCTTTTCCTGCTTTCCCTTTCAATTGGAATCATGAATACTATATAATTTGTGATAATCTGAAATCCTCCTTTTCTTTGTAAATGACTTTACTGGTAAACGAAGATTATTGGGTATTTGAATTTGTTGATTTAAACCAAACATGGTATTTGATGATTACCAATTTAGCAATACCAGTAATCTTCAGAAATACCCCATACCAAACACACCGTTAGTTTATGCGAGGTACTGTTAACCCATGATCCTTGCAGTTTGATCCTGAGATAGAAAAGGCAGGAAAACTCAGAAAAAGCGCAAAAGAAAGAAAAGCAAAAGAAGCAAAAGCATCAAGCTCGACGAAACCAAAGGAAGAAACTATGACTGACAACAACGCGATTCAGAATCCTCCCAGAACTTCGGGAGATTACATGACTCCAGCCCGAGTTCCGCAGACGGCGAGTATTGTTAGACCCAATGTGGAAGCTAACAACTTTGAGCTCAAGCCAACACTGCTGCAACTGATTTAAAAAGATCAGTTCGCTGGAGGAAGCTCCGAAGCCCCTACAGTCATCTAGAGAATTTCTTGCTCTACTGTGACACCTTGAAGATGAATGAAGTCTCACGTGACGCCATCTTGCTCAGACTCTTCCCATGCTCACTGAAGGAAGAAGCAAGAGGGTGGTTGCAGTCACTGCCTCAAGGAAGCATCACCAACTGAGATGATTTAACGACCAAGTTCTTGGCCAGATTCTTCTCAGCTTCAAAGATGGCAAGGCTCAAAGCATAGATCACTTCTTTGAACAAAAAGAAAGTGAATCCTTGTACGAGGCATGGAAAAGGTTTAAAGGACTACTCCGAAAGTGTCCCCAACATGGCTTTGAAGCTTGGGAGAAAGAATGAATCTTCTTCCAAGGAATGATGCCTAGCACAAGAACCTTGGTGAATGTTGCATCAGGGGGATCATTGAAAACAAAAATTCCAGAGGAAGCGCTGGAATTGCTGGAATCTGTAGCCTCTCAGGAGTTCGATAATGCTCCAGTCACACAAAAGAGAGCGGGGATCATGAAGCTTGACGGCTATGATGCGTTGTTGGCCCAGAATGAATAAATATTGCAAATAAATAAGAAACAACAAGCACAACTAGATGCTCTCACAAAGCAATTTTCCAGTTCTCAAGTCTCTTTTGTTAACACTCCTCAAGTTACTTGTGGTATTTGTGTAGGTACTCATGCTACTGAAGATTGCGATTTCATGAAGGCACCTGAAAATGCAGAAGTCAACAGAATCTGGTTGATCAAAAGAACCAGAATAATCCGGGAAGGAACCAATGTGGAAATAACTACAATCTAGGGTGAAAAAAAATCAAAATCAACACCTATGGTTTAGTTACAAATCAAATCATCAGTTGAATCCTCCCCTTCCAGTGCAACAACAGCCCCCACCACCACGCAACACTTCAAAGTGAGAGAAAGCCTTTGCACAGCTGTCCAAGACCACCTCTGACTATATTCAAAATGCAAATGCCTTAAGAGATGAAACAAGAGCTTCACTCTGGAATCAAGAAGCTTCTATTCGGAATCTTGAAACTCAGATTGGCCAGTTGTCAAGACAATTTGCTGAGAGAGCTAAGGGTACCTTCCCGGGAGACAATTTCATTAATCCTATAGAGCACTGCAATGCAATTACCACAAGAAGTGAGACAATGATTCAGCCTATAGAGAAACAAACTAAAGAAAAGAAGAGAGATGTGAAGGCATTGGTTGAAGAAGAGAAGAAAGAAAAGGCAAGGGATACTATTGAAGTTGACAAAAGCAATCCTGAAAAAGCCGAAAAGAAACCATTCAAGTGGAAAAAGAAGAAAGCTCTAGAAAGACAGAACAA